GCACCAGGGGTCAGACCAGATCCCCATCTGACTCCTCAACCTCCCTCAGCAGCAGAGAGAAAGAGAGCCAGGAACCAGGAGAGAAAGTGACCTCTCAGAACAGCTGTGAGGGCGGAGGAAAGCCGTTTGTGAACCCCCCCCCCCCCCCGGGGCAGCTAAATAACCCTTTGCAAGTAACTTTGTTGAGTTTCTAGGATTACATTCACCTTTTCACTACATAAAACTGCTGTGAAAAAGAACTGGAGGGATTACAGCAGTAAAGAGAGGAAATGAGCATTTCCCCAAGTTGAAAGAGAAATCCGTGTGTGAGGGTTGTGTCAGGTGCTGCTAAGCACCTGTCCGGTTGATCCAGGTAGGATTTTGCGGGTGCAACATCGTTCTTTTGGGGGAAGCTTGCAGGCGACAGGGATCCATCTTCTGGCCAGTTGTCCTGAGAGGTTGAGCCTTAGGAAGGCTCTGTGATCTGACTAAGTTCCTTTCGGGTCCAGGGAATTTGTGGTCGGCTAGAATAAACAGCCTGAAGCACGACTCTTAATGTTTTTGTTTCCCTTTATAGTCCTTTCCCTTCCTCAAAAAACTCTAGGTTGTTTCAAGGTAGTTTTTATTTAATTTAATGTAGTTACATATGCTTTATATATAAACCAAATGGAGCCTCACTCGTGGCCTGAGGAAAAGCAGCAGTCCCCTGCCCCAGGTCTTCCCACCTCACAGCCCTACTCCTCAGGGACAGCTGCTTACAGCCCTTTGGCCAGTTCTTCAGATATCATCTCCATATTTCTAAATAACATGCTTATCCTCTATATCTCAGCCCATCAATTTTAGACATTTTCTGTTGACTTTTTACTGTGGAAGACCAGGACTTGGCTCTCTGAATTTAGCATATGACACCCCCGCCACCCCCCCTTCTATCCCTCCCAATGCGGTTAGATCACAAGTTTTGGTTTAATGTTCAGTGCTTATATCACAAAGCTGTGTCAGTTTTGTGCACGGTGTGGTTAATGTGTGATGTGTTAGAACCATTTCTTGATTGTAAACCTTGTTATTTTAGGGTTTGTCATTTCTTCTTTTTTTTTTTATTTGTTCGGTTTTTACATTACATGAATTCATCCTCACCATTTCTAACAGAACTCTCAAATTCTTCTCCAGATGGTCACATAAGCCAGGGAATCTCTCAGGTCCACATCCCCTTGGTGACATCCCTCCGGGACCCCTCCAGCTCCTCATCCACTGGACCGGTCTCTGTCCAGGTCAGCGGCCCAGCTGTTGGCCAGCGAGTTCCTCTTCCTCTCTCCTGGGTCAGGGCCCCATCTCCCTCTATTTTGATTTACTCCATTTCATAGGAATGTATCCTTCTACACCTAACTGAGAATGGTTACAAAGATTAATTTCCTGAAACCTTACAGATCTGAGAGTGTGTTATACTCTCACAGGTGATGGATGACTTGGTTTTCATCAGGCTTTTGCCTTAGAGATGTGAAACTTAACTCACATTTCCAAGGAGAATTCCACACAGGTTCTCTTTGCTAATGAGAATAAAGTCATCCATATTTTTAAAAAGCAGGTAAATGCTGACTTAGGTCATGTGATGTACAAGAGATGTTGACTGTCTTTAACCTCCTCAGCCTTTTCTCTAGGAATCTTTGAGAACCCATGTTTACATGGGCAACACTTGATTGACTATAGAGGCAGTAAGCTAGCTCTGTCTAGTCACTCTGTAGGGTCTGTGAAGAGAGGGACTTTGAAGTATTGGCTCACGGATTCCCTGTGCCTAGCACAGTGCTTAGCGTATATATTACCCCCAATACTTGGGGCTTTGGTTTGTTGCTGTTTTCAAATATTTGTTTTTTGCCTTACAGAATAGAATTACTCTTTTTTTTTGGCTTTGTCCCACCTTTAGTTTTGGGTAACCAGCCCTACTAGAAAGAAAATGGGATTTCTTTGGGAGGGCCGGGGAGAGAGAGGGAAGGATGTGTCTACCCTGGCCTTCTTCCCTTCTAAGGAGAACTGGCAGGATGGGAAGTAGCAGGCAGAGCCTCATCAAATGGTTTGTAGAGTTCTAATTTCATTAAAACTTGAACCCACACCTATCAGATAGATTTTTTTTTTTCTTTTCAGCCTCTGGACTTGGGGGCACAGGGACTCCTGACCTGCCCAGGTTGAGTTAGGGAGAGAGTGAGGCCTGTTTGTCTCACTGCTGTGGTCTCCAGGACACCTTCTTTAGTCCTTGGTATTCTTAGCAACAAAGTCACCTCTTGGCAGGAACAAAGCCACTCAGATGCCAACAGTCAGGGTTTGGTTTCAAGTCACCAGCCTTGGAGAGTCAGTGCCCGATTTCCTTTGGCAAAGACAGCCTGCCCCCTCTCAGTTCCTTTCAGCCACTTGGGCACAAAGGTAATTTCCTCAAAATAGAAACCTTTCAAGACTCTATCTGGTGCATCTGTGAATCATTACGTTTCTCCCGAATTCTAATTTAACATCTTACAATTTTGAAAACATTATTTAGCTTCTTTCATTTTTTTCTCAAATCAACTTTCAAACCAAAAGTAGATCTGCGTTAGAAGGGTCTGGGCATTTTCTTCTGGGAGACCGCGTGGTTGGTATTCACACCAAGATGCATGCGTTGACAGATCCAAGTTTTATTCTTAACTCCAGGACTAATCCTGGATGTGTGACCTCAGACAGGTCCGTTCATCTCTAAGCTTCTATTTCCTTATCTGTAAAGTGACCTTAATAAAATCCATCTAACAATGTCATTGTAAGGCAAGGAGTACAGTACCTGAGACCACATTGCACATCTCCTTTTACCCACTGATGAGACTGGAAGCTCCTTAGCAGTTGTGCTTTATACGTTTCTGTGGGCTTTTACTAGTATTTGCTTGTAACTGAAAAGATGATGTGACCAAGAGCGTTAGAGAAACCCTACGGAAAGATCAGAGGCACTTGGCCCCACCGCATGCCTCACCTCCCTAACACAGCCACGGCTTTGACTTTATGTAAACATTTCTTTCCTTTCCCTTCCCGCACAGGCACACTCTGTTCTTTCCCAGTAGCTTCCAGGTCTCAGTCCCACCAGAGAGTCTCCAGGTAACTGGAAGGAGCATAGGCGGGGCCACGTCTGAGCTTGATAGGTCCCACTTGGTTTTTCATTTTAGTGGATGCCTTTGAGGGATGTTGAAGCCTTGGTTAAGATAGCTCTCTGATGTTGAATGTGAGGGGGGCTTAGCCTTCTCCCAGAAGATGCCCGGACCTGGCCACACTCCCCATATTGCAACACTGTGGACCACTGTCGGGGGTTGGCTCACCCTTTGGCTTTGTGGCCAGAGATCCACGGTGTGGACAGCAGGTCACAGATTTGAACCAGCACTTCCACAGGATATTTTTACAGGGTTGTGGTCAAATGAGTTTGGGAAACTTCGGGTTAAACAAGGTTAAAAAAATGTCTCTTTACTGCGTTGCTTTTAATATGCTAATATTCGCTGTGAATCTCAAAAGGGAGGTTCTATTAAAAAATCGTAATAGCCAGCATTATTGAATGTCTACCCTTTGTTGAATCTAGGAGTTCTAGTGTGCTCTGTATAAGCAGTGTCTCATTTAAATCCGACAGCCACCCTATGGAGTAGATGCCATCACTCTCCCCGTGTTCGACACTGGGGAAGCACTGCCCAGTGTCAGAGCTGATTTGCATACTCTTGGTAGGCTGTCCTAACCAATCCTTTTATTTGGGGCTTCTATGGGATCTGTACTCAGAAAGCCTCTACTTGGAGAAATGCCAGTTTAAACTCAAAAAGTGAGTAGGGACTGCTAGGCGAAGAGCGACACAAGGTTTCTCTTTGAACCCCATTAAGTTCTGAGCTCCCTGGAACCCATGTACCCCCAGATGTCTTTGTGTCCCATTAGGTGGGTCTTATGGCCTATACCGTAGGAAGGATGGGCAGGGAGGGTCTGAAGTAGAGCATCTAGGCCAGAGGTTCTTAAACTTAGGTGCGTATTGGAATTTGCCTACCGAGCATTAAAAGTCACTGATGTCTGGCCATATTCTCAGGGATTCCAAATTACTCTGGGTGGAGCCCAGGCATTGGTGATTTTTAAATGCTCCTTGGTAATTCTGCTGCAACCTGGGTGAGAACCATTGGTTTGGACATTCTCCTCTGTGGTCTAATTTCCATATCTCATACCAAAGCAAGGCAAAGAAAACGTTTCCTTTGTAAGTTAAATGTCTTCTTAGGTGTTTGGTGTTTTTGTTTCTTTTGTTATGAATGACTGGTATTCCTTCGTTACCAACCTCTTGCTAACCTTATGCCATGAATCCTCCCCCCCGACCCTAACGTTGCACTGATAGCCACATATTGACTGGCCCTTATGCAGAAGTTTGAGATTGGTTACTAAGGGGACTGATGAAAAAAGGCTCAGCCCTCTCATTCTTGCTGGAAGAGGTAGGTAGGGACCAGAGCTCAGAAGGCTGCACCCACACTGCTGCTAGGGGAGCTGGAGTGAGAAGTGCATTCTGGGTGATGATGTTAGCTAACTACACACGTACTTTTTATTGGGCTTACACCGTAAATAATGGGCTCCAAAAGGCGTCACTGTCATTTTCATCTGAGTCTTGTGAAACTGGGTAATAGAATTGTTTTTTGGTTTGGTAGTTGGGTAATTTAAGCTGTTGTTTACTTCTGTGTCTACAAAAAGCCTTTCTTAGGCATTGGGAAAATACATACCCTTCTCAATAAAAGACAATGACTGTTTTACTATATTGTATACCTGAAACTAATATATTATTGTATGTCAACTTTAGTTAAAAAAACAAAAAATGATGATTGCTTTTGCCCTAAATTATAATGACTTTTCTAACATCTTCATCTTTTCAAAGGTATGGACTCTCAGCTAATCAAGGCGTAATTCCAGGACTTTCAGACCACTTACTCTCTATCCAGTTCACGATGCATGTGTCCCAGGTTGTTCAAAGGATTTGTAATGGGAATGTCTCTGTTGGTTTCTTGCAGTACAACAAACACCTCTTCGTGCACATTGGGCATGCCAACCATTCTTACAGTGACCCATTGCTCGAATCAGTGGACATTCGTCAGATTTATGACAAATTTCCTGAAAAGAAAGGTGGCTTAAAGGAACTGTTTGGCAAGGGCCCTCAAAATGCCTTCTTCCTCGTCAAATTCTGGGTGAGTAAGACCTCGCAGTGATTTCAGTGGCTTTTGTCTGAATGGTCAAGTCCCATGTGAGTGTGGAGCAGCACAGCTGGCCGTGGATGCACCTGACTGCATGTTCACCTGCACCTGCGGGATTGCCGTGGGTCATGGCTCACACCTGTGTGCCGCCCTCACGCTGGGCTTGTGCCCTGCTGCTTCTGCCACACAGCAAGAGGCGGGCGGCCTCTTTGGGCTTCGGGGCTCACTCATGCAATGACGAGAGGCTTCCCTGATGGGTGGAATCAGGATGGAAAACATGGGCCACTAGACCCTCTTTCTCTTACTTCTTACTCCATTAAGCAAAGCAACCTGTAAATTCCACTGTCGCATAGGACCTGGGGCATGGTTGGGGCTGGGATGAAGATACAGGTGGGCTTCAAGGTCTTAGAAGTGCCTGAGAGAATACAAAATGGCTTTGCCCAGTATGTGCCTCATTTGTGCTTTAAAACATTAAGCGCAGATTCCACCAGCTGCTGGGGCTCCCTGATGCCCCACAGCCTCTGGGAGACATTTTGCTCTTCCTCTTCCACGTCAAGCGGGGGCCAGGGCACTGCTGATGGGTCAGAGACCTGAAAGCAGCATGAGTATAATGTGTGTGTATTGGGGGTCAGGGGGCATAGGAGACCAGATGACCCGCTAGTGCTGAGTGTTTATAAGTCCTCAGTCTTTAGAAAGAGAAAAAGAGAACAGCTTCAAAGGTGTGCGCTCCTTAGCATGGCATCCGCGGCTCTACGTGAGCTGGTTCCAGAGCGTTTCCCTTGCTCTGTCCTGTGCCCAGCCTCCGTGTGCATCTGTTGTACATTTCCCTTCTCCTCCTCCTCCGTGGGGCCAGCTCCCTTTCCCTTTGGGATGGCGGCTCGTTTACTATCGCACCTTCCTCACTTAGGCAGACCATTGATTTTCCTTTTACTCCCACCGCATGTTGTGGGTAATCAGGTCCCATACTGTGTCATAATTATGTGGATGTGTGTCCCACTCCTCGCTGGACCCCCGGCTGCCTCTGGGGGACCTTATTCACAACAGTGGCGACTGCTTATTGAATACCCGCTGTGGGCTGGGGGCCGCGCTAATGCTCTACATGCATCTCATCCAGTCCTCATGGTGTTTAGCGGAATTTGCTTTGTATTCAACAAAGAAGACAAAGACTCAGAGATTATAAAGGACAGGCTACATGCAGGGTGGGGACTTGGTCTTGAAATTGGATAAGTTTTACATTAGTGCCTCTGCTCTGTTCCCTGACTGCTTCACGCCCTATGGATCCTGACCACAGAGTCTACCTGGGAACGACTCTCCATGTCTCCAGTACAAGTGCCCAACACATACACAAAAAGCCCAACAAATGGGGAGACAAGTGGATGAATTAAGGAAAAATTTATGTTTTAAATTCCTTGGAGGGAAGTTTACATATTACATTTAGTTTGTTTAGCTTCTGTTATCCTTGCATGGTAACTAGCTCTCGTTTTTCATGCTCTTGTATTAAATTTGAATTATAGAAATAGCCTTCTACTGATATTAATGTTCTTAGGGTGGGTAATATATGTGGATAACATGGACAAAAAAGGTCATTTCTCCTTTTTAAATTGGTGGCTGCCACTTAGTGATGGTTGGAGGGTCACTTATATGATAACACAGAAGTTTTCTAAGAGTGGCCTGCAGGACCCCACAGAGGGTTCTTCAGTATTCTTTTGGATTGACAAGGTCAAAACTATTTTCATGATGACAAAGGAGACATTATTTGCCTTTTGCACTCTGCTGACATGCACACTCTGGTGGCTTGGAAGCAAGGAGGTATGCACACACGGTTAAAAAAATAAATAAATAAAGAGCCAGTCACACCAAGAATGTTCTTTATGAAGCTTACCCATCTGGAACCTAGAGTACACATTGAAAACGAATGCCGGGAGCCTGCCTGCCACATCAAGGAAAACAGCTGACAATAAGTGCTACAAAGATAAAATTTGAGCTTGCAAGTAAAAATAAGAATTTTGGAAAACTTGTATCTACCTCAGTGAACTTGACAGCTTCCTAGCCCTTAAAAGACTTTTTGATGAGGTCCACAGTCAGATTAACTAATGCAATTTTTTGATATTGTGCAAGACAAACCAGTGGGTTTTAATGTAGCAGAGTGTGTAAGTTTATGGACACAGTTTCAGATTCTGCACTGCAGCTAGCCTTTAAGAAACTATCACCTGTCCAGTTTAGTTGTCGTAAAGAAAAATGACCACAGTTATCTGATGAGCTTATTCAGATAGTCTTTCCTTTTCCAGTTACATATTTATGGAAGGCTGGAGTTTCTTCATGTCCCTCAGCCAAGGCAGCATGTCCTGACAAATGAATGTAGAAGCAAGTATGAGAATCTAGGTATTTCCCATTAATTTACACATTAAATGGATTTGCAAAATATAAAACAACACTCCCTTCTCACTAACTTTGTTTTAACTATAGGTATGCCTAGTTTTTAAAAAAATATATATGTTAACATGCAATGAGCTTATTTTTTTTAAATTAGATAATATTTTTTAAGAATTCAGTTTAAATTTCCAATACAGAAAACATAGATAGATGTAACCTATAGAAACAAGCTCTTTGAGATCCTCAGTAAAATTTAAGAGTGGGAAAGGGGTCCTGAGACCAGAAAGATGAAGAGTTCTTGTTGTGAAGCATATAAAAGAGACTGTTCTATCCAAGTGAATTAAAAGTCATCAGAAATTATAGGATATGATGAAAAGAAACCATTTTCAGTACTTTCAAATTAAACAGTATTGGTTTTTAATAATAAGTTTTTTACAATTAGCATGTTACTTGAATATTAAAGTGGAATGGAAAGTGCTTAGCAAGTATGTTCTTGTTTTTGCTTCCAAACTTTCACCTGTTTCACTCAGGAGGTGATTTTAACAAATGCTTTCAGGGTTGGACCTCTTCAGTCATTCATGAATGCCCAATGAGGTGGTCTAGATTGCAGATGTTTAGAGTGTGCTGGCTAGTATGAGACATGCAAATCTGACATAATTACTCCAAGATTAACAGGAGTGTATTGAATTAAGATTTACAGACTTAAAATTGAGCACTTCTGTGAATATGATAGAAGATATTCCTTCTTAGGATAGTTAACAGTACTTAGCCTTTATAAAGAATTCAGTCACAACTGTTAAAATAAGTGAGGAAAGGCCATATGAATCAGGTTTACAATCTGCTGCAGTTTGAAGTCTCACGGGCTTCCTCTGATGACTGAGAATGAATTATACTTGGACTGTCTACTCTGTCAGTAGGTGCTTCCAGTGAGCATTTTCTGTTTCTTCTAGAGAGAGAGGAAAGGAGAGGAAAAGAGAGAGAGGGAAACATTGATGTGAGAGAGAAACAGCCATCCGTTGCCTCCTGTACACGCCCTGCTTGGTGGGCTGTGACCTGGGATCGAACCCGCAACCTGGGTATATGCCCTGACTTGGAATCGAACCAGTGACCTTTTGGTGCATGGGACTATGCGCCAGCCAAGCCACTCCAGCCAGAGCTAGCCGTCCTTATTTCATTAGGCATTAATAATATGGCTTAGAATATAGATGTATGTGTATGTGTGTAAATAACCAAATCGCTTTCTAAAGTCGTCAAGCAGTGAGTGAGTATTCCAGACATCTTCATCAGCCTTGTGTGGCATAATTTAAAAACAAAACAACTTTTCTATCGTCATCTTCTGTTCTTTGAATTCCTCACCATCTGCAGTTATTTTTTCTTTCTACTCAGTCTTTAATCCTTCATTCTCTATTCCCTCCATTCTAAGACGTACACTTGCTACCATTTCAACAGTCCTAGAAGTGGGGTGCTCTGATAGTCAATATTATAAGCACCTTGCCTGCCCCTCCATAGAAGAGTAAGTGGTAATGTGGTTGTTACTGCCTGCTCTTTGTGCCCCTCACCAATAGAGGGCATCTCACCATCTCCTGTTTCCTTAGTTAAGTTATTTGTCCTATAGTACTATATACTCCTAGTGAAATTTTAGCTTAAATTTGAGTTCCTAATTTTTATGTCTCAGAAAAATTACAGTCCGATGCAGCATTGAAATTGTTGTTATGATTGGGGATGAGTGTGGAAGCAGATTTATAATAAGTGAGGCTAACATTTTGTACTGGCAGAAAACCATCCTTTTCCCCCCCCTTATAAAACAATGATCAGGTGTTGTGTGGGCCCCCAAAAAGGAAGATGTCCACCCACAAATGGTCAGAGCCCAGCTTGGTTTCTGCATTGAGGTTCATGCAGATGGGTTGCCAGTGTGATGGCAGACACTGCAGCTAATTTAAGATAAAATACCAACTGTGTTGGTATTGATCATAGAATTCCCAGAGCTGGAAGAGATGGCTGTGATTTGGTCATGCATCCTGAAAGACAAAAACTCAGCTGCAGCTTCAGCCGACTTGCAAGAGAACTTCCTTTCCAGTCACATGTAGCTTACTTAAGGAAATAAATGAGAAATTACGGATTTAACCAAATAAGAAATTCAGTGGAACTATTGTTTTTGAAGTAATTCTTCTCTCTGTCCGATGCACAAGAGTGTCAAATTTTGAAACATTGGTGCAGAGAGAGCCATATGTTACTAACAAGTTACTTATAACCCTATGGCCAAAAGTTATTCAGAAGAACCATAAGTATGATAAAGGCTTAGTCGCAAATTTGATTGGACTAATAAGGAAATAATATGAAAATGAAATTGGATGTATATCTTGTTACAAAACAAAATCTGTATATATATTTAATACAGTGTTTCTTTTTTCTTTGAAATCATTATTAAAGTATGGGTGTCTTAGAAACCAGGATATATATGTTACCCTGTGATTGATTATGCTATCTTTTTAAAATTCTTGGAATTATGAACATTTACTATAAACAATTACCAATATATTTGTAGTCACTCAACTTAGTTTCTTAATATATTATTTTAGGGGAAGAAAAAGAAAGGCTAGTTTTACTAACCAAAGCAGATA